TTTTTTTAAACTTTCCTTTTCTTGTCTTATTGTACTGGCTAGGAATTCCAGTACTATCTTGAATAAGAGTGGGAAGATTAGACATCCTTGCCTTGCTCTGGAGCTTTGAGGGAAAACAGTCCATTTCATCATTCAGTATCAAATAGCAGAACTTCATTTTTTTTTAACATTTTCCCCTGTTAAGTTGAGGCAGGCAGATACAGTGGCATATGCCTGTAACGTAAACACTCATGAGGAAGAGGCAAGAGGACTACCACAAATTCTAGGTCAATCTAGTTTACATAGAGAGTTCTAGGACAGCCAGGGCTACATAGTAAAACCTGTCCTTGGGCTGGATAGAAGGCTCAGCGTGTAAGGTACTTACCACAGTCTTGAGAACTCCATTTCGGATCCCCAGAATCTATATAGCATGCATCTATAATCCCAAGGCTCCTACTGTGAGGTTGGAGGCAGAGAAAGGATCCCTGGAAATTCAAAGGTCAGATAACCTGGCATTGCAGCCATGAACAGAGACCCTGTCTCAAATAATGTGTTCCCTGACCTTCATATGTGTGCTGTGGCCTGCACTCACACACATGGCCACATACACACGTCTCAGTCCTTCAGTCTCTCTCTCACAAACACATGCACACAGATGGAGACAGAGCATTGGCCTCAAAAAGCACAAACAACAACAGCAGCAACAACAAACATTTTTTTTCTATTTTCTGCAAAAGATAATATAGAATTGGTGCTAATTTTTCATTTCAGTAGAATTAGAATTATCCAGTGAAGTATGTGGGCCTGGAGTTTTCTTTTGCAGGAGACTTATAATTTCTATTTTGATACTATTATGGTTAGAAAATACATTCTATGTACTTTCAATTATTTTCAACTGGTTGAGATTAGTTTTACGGCTGAGCACATGGTCCTATCTTGGTATACGTTCCTTTAGTACTTAAAAAATATGTGTATTCTGTTCTTGTTTGGAGTAGCCTATAAATGTCAGTTAAAGCCTATTAATTGGTAGCACTGTTGAGCTCTTCTATATCCTAGCTCTTTTCTGTCTTCTAAACTGGTTGATGAGAAAGGGATGATGAAGTTTCTAACTCTAATCATGTTTTTTTTTCTTTGCTGAAATGAGGGTTGAACCAAGACTTTACACATGTTAGGCAAGCACTCTACTGCTGGGCTATCTTCCCACCCTTAGTGATGGATCTTATATTTCCCTGTACAACCATATTAGTTTTTCTCCATGTACTTCAAGACACTTATTTTTGAAGCATACACATTTTGGGTTGCTATATCTTAGTAGATTGATACTTTTTTACATATTACAAAATGTTAATGAAGAAAATAAAAATATAGCTGCATATGGTGGCTCACACCTGTAATACAAGGTATGTGGGAACCTGAGGCAGGAGGATTGAAGCTAAGGCCTGCTTGGGCAACCTAGAAATATTCTGTCTCAAAATTTAAAAAGAGTGGAACTGGCTGAAGCTGTAGCTCTGTGATATAGTGGTTGCACGAGCATGTATACAGCATGCATAAAGTTCAATCTTCAGCACTGCAAATTCACAAAAGGGGAAGAAAATCTAAATCTAAAAGTTGAGACATGCTATATTTATAGGTTGGAAGACTCAGCACAGTAAAGATGTCAATTATATTCAAAAGAAGTACAGGCTTAATGCTAGTCCTTCCTAAATTTTACCAAAAATTACTTTATAGAATTAGACAAGGTTATTCTAAAGTTCACATGGAAAAGTAAAAGAACTGCTTTAGCTTAATTTTTGTTTACATTTATTTATCTAGTGTGCACATGCATGATATGTGTGTGTGTGTGTGTGTGTGTGTGTGTGTGTGTGTGTGAAGGCCAGGATTACTTGTAGGAGTCGGTCATCCCTTTTGGTAGACATGTGGGTCACAGGAATGAATTCAGGTCACCAGGCTCAGTAGCAAGAACCAACCTACTGAGACATTTGACCAACCCTAATGAATTTCATTGTTGAGATGTGGTCTCACTTTGTAGCAAATGCTAGCACTGCATCATCAACACTCCTGCCTCAGCCACAACATGTGGCCTTTGCCCAAAATGATTTTGAAAAGAAGAAACTCTGAGGAACCATTCTTCCTGATTCTAGGACTTATTATATAACTATGGTACACATGACCATGGAGGAAAAGACTCATAGATCAGTGGAACAGAAGATAAAACCCAGAGAGACAGGAATAGCTGTTTTAGAAGGTATGGGCATTTTGGAAAAGGAAACATTTGGATTTTCTACCCTTTTGCAGGACAAAAGAAGCTTTACACTGTAAGACAAAGGATGATTTTGTTTTCAAGATAAATGGAGCACCCTAGAATTCCTAGAGGTACCTAGAGAAAATGGCACCCAAAACATTTAAAATACTCACCCCCTAGCCCATTTTTAAAATGTAGGGTGGTAGCCATATTTTATAATCTGGAATTAGAAAATAAGATCTAAAACTAAGGATTGAAATTTTTGTTGACTTTTTGGACAGGCTGTGGAACTGCTCTGCTACTGAGCTACCTCCCTTCTTTTCTCACGGTCTTTTTCTTTAAACAAAAAACATGCTATTTTTTTTCTGACTGTGAAACAATATATATTCATGATAGAAACTTTGAAAGATACAGAAAAAGAATAAAGAGGAAAGAAAAATTACACATAATTGTAATCCTTGGTAACTACTGTTAAAGTACTTTGGCAATATATCACTGAAGATGAAGGTAGGTGGACACTGTGGTACTTGACTGTAATCCCAGCACAGGTAGGAGGCTGTGGCAGGAGGATCATGAGTTTGAGGTTGGCCTGGGCTACACAGTGAAATGCTTTCTCAAAAAAGTTATCACTGGAGATAACTACTGCCATCATTTCTTTTGCATGTTTTCCTGTACATAGCCACATACTCACACATTCATTACATATATTTGTAAAATTGAGACTCTGTGGCATTAAATTATTTTGTGATTTTTTAAATTAATATATAATACTTGCCTCACCTAGTTATTTCCAAAAATTTTCTTTGTAGTTGACTGCAACAAATTTTTTCCACATAAAAATACTAGAAGGAATTAATATTCTGCTTCAAATTCAGTATATCGAAACAGAACATGTTATGAACAGAGTAAGGTATTTTAAGCAGGGGTGTGTGTAGGCCCCTTCCACTGGCAGCTTCCAAGTTCTAGTTGTGTCTACTTAGGAAATCGCAGAGCCATCTTCCTTCTTCCCTTATTCTTGATCCTTTCTCTATAAATGACCTACATCCAAGGGCTGGTAACATTCTTTACATAGCCCTTCTCAGGGTCCATACAGGTGTTCACCTTTAAATTACACCATCATGATCCATTTCAAACATCACTATTATCATGTTATATTCCAATTCCAGAACCTAGAACAGCCTCCACTTTTTTGTATGTGATCTAGACTATTTAACCTGAAATTTGGTCTAGTCAGCTCTGCTATCATGGTTCTGAGATTCCCTTGCAGACCATCCACATCTAGACTCTGCTCTAGTCAAGTCCTCCAGCTGCTTCTACGCAGTGCCAGCCCCACAATCGCCTCATTTATCCAAGGGGGTTCAGTTTTGTGCTTTCATCCAGATTTCTCAATTATTCACTGGAAGCAGAGATCATGTCTTCTTCAGCCACTCCAAGAGCTCATGACACCAAATACTCGGGAGGTTCAAAAATAACTTGATTGAGTTGAGCTTTAAAGTGAGCTTTAAAATTTAACTGGTTCAGAATGCATTTTGGGAGCCCATGAAGGGTAGGAAGGGATTACAAACAGCGATGGGAAAAAGCAGGTGGGAAATGATTAGTAGGCACAACAAGGCACTGCTAGCAAAGTGGAGGCCAGCCATCAGGCCTGGATCAAATCTGGAGTTAACTCCTCTGTGTTACGTAATCACAAGTGTGGTATACTGTGCTGGTGGTTACCAGTCTTCTACCCTATAAGGACATACATGAGATAGTATATGTGAAGTACCCAGCACCATGAGAGTGTGGCACACTTGTAGTTAGTTCTTCCTTGATGGTTTTAGGTAGAAATTTCCAGTTTTCCTAACTAATCTGCAAATGAAGATTTCATGGCATATTAAATTTAAGCTGCTACTTTATTGTAACTTTGGGGAATAGCCTCCTTTTTCTTGGAATTTGAAAATTTTAGCATGGCATTTTTGTAACTTGTTTTGCAACAAAATCCACAACAAACCTTTCCATTTCTTAAATTCTTTAGTGAAGTAAGGCTAGGAGTCTGCTCAGTGGGAAAGTGCAAGCAGGTGGCCAGTTTCTGGAGAACAGTGGGGGGGGGAGGGGTACACACAGGGCAGGGAACAGGAAGGGGAGATAAGGTTTAGACGTCTCAGAGATCTTTACTCAAAGCCCTGCAAACCGGCTCAGGATTTCCACCACAATCCTGTTCCAAAGTCCTTCCAAGAAACTGGAAAGCAACTGGTCAGTCTGTCCTTGGGGTCAGCTGTGCCTCCCAAGCCCTCTTCATGCTTCTTAGACAACAAGAAAGGGTGTGTGGGGAAGCCTCGTTTCCATGGGGTAGTGTCTCTTCAGGCAGAGCACAACTGCTTTGGGCTTAGGGCTCCAGCAGTCCTTGAAGTCTGAACCTCATTGCTAACCCATAGAAGAATACTACCTTCAGCCTTCAAACTGCAGTAGGGGTGCATTTTTCTCCATCCCCCACACAATAGTTCTCCCAAGAATATTAGCAGCAGATGTGCAAAGGGTCTCAGCATGGGGCTGTGAAACTGTAAATAGCAGACTAGAGCTGGTGGTCATAGCACACTGGAGGTGGCAGGAGATGAGGAACTAGCTCTTTCTATCCCCCCCCTTCTCTATCTAGCTCAGAATGGAGTTCCAAACTCCAGATTTCAGCTTCCCGGGGCTGATGGAAGCATGGTGTGGGAGGAGGCCTGGGGAGCACTATGAGGCATGGCTCCGGGGCCAGGACTTTAGGGGTTGCTCACGGACATTTTCCTCTTGTTTTCAGGGAGACACGAGATTTCGGGTGCTTTGGATCAGCTACATGGAAGGAGCAGGGTGAGCAGTGTGGGGTAAGGAGGGTTTACTGGGGGTGGGGCCATCGGATAAAGCACATGGGAATGGTGAGTAGATTTGACAGGGGAATCAAAAAGGCCAGAGACTGACTCCTAAGTTCCCACTGAGACAGAGCCAGGTTCAAATGTCAGCCCTAGCCCTCATAGCATAGTGTGACTCCCACTGTAAGTGGGTAGGAAGAACTTGCTGAATGAAGGAAGGGGACTTTGTCTAAGCCACTTACTTTCTCTGTCACCTAGAAGAGACATAGCCATTGTCTTATTATTTCACCTGTGCCGTCTCTCCTCACATTTACACCAGTCTGTTGGTTCCTCCCCAGCCTGCCCTGTAGAGGCTGCTGCCCTGTCAGCTTTCTTCAGCAAGGACGGGAAAGGGCAGGTGTACCAAGGCCTTGCTCTTCCCTCTTTTACATTCCTCCTCTCCCCTTCTTCCTCCTTTTTTCTTCATCCCACTCATTTTTTTTTCTGGATCCCAGGACAAGTTCTGAGAACCCTAAGCATGTGTTGAAACCTCCAGTTTGAATTCTACCACTTACAAGTGCACAGAGCACCCTCCCCTCTTTGCAGAGGGTTGAATCTGGCTGAAACACGAAGCTTAGAGCCCCAGGTGGCCCCTACTTGCTTCAAATGCCATTGGTACTACAGCGCAGCAAACCTACCTCTACCCCATTTCCCCATACAGAGCTAGCTGGGCCCCTCTGGGGATTGATCACATCAGCACTGTTCCAACTCTGGAAGGTTCACTATGAGCTAATTCCTCTGGAGTATGTTAACCAGAGGAAAGGCAAACAACTCCAAGCATGTGGAGATGGGGCAAGGATGATTTCGCACTAGCAGTCATGAACTGTGTTCGGCCATGAATTCTCTAATGTGGTTTTCTTGCGAGCAATGAAATGTACCTTTAGGATAGTTCACTGGCACAAGGAGGACCAGAAAACAGACCTTGTCTGTGTCTAAAGTAAGTAGCTTAAATTGCCTCCCTGTGTTTTTATTTTTGTCTTTTTTTTCTTTCATTCGTTAAAACCGATGGGAAGAAAAGATGGGCTAGGTGCAATTCATACTTGCCTCTGCCTTTAGTTTTCCTGTGGCATGTGGAACGTACACAACTCTGTAAGAGGAATCTTCTGGGGTTCGATTTTCAATAGGTTAAAATCTCATTATTTATGTTTCTAAGGGATGTAGTGAGAAAACAGAAAAAACCAAACCAAACCAAACAAACAAACAAAAAATAACCCAAGGCTGAACCAATTTGACTAGATAGACATGCTGGGATAAACTCCCTTGCACAGGGGCCGAATCAGTCTACTCCATGCTGTCTCAGTTTCCCTAAACAACCTGTGACCCGCACCCTGCTCTTGGTTTTTAATGGGATAGGGGAGGATTAGCCAGCTTCATGTAGGTTTTTATATGTGAGAACAAATGACAGTCTTGAAAACAGGTTAAGGGAATCTTTCAGAATACAGAAAACTCAAAAGCCTTTCCACACTGACCATTGTCATGGCAACACACTATCTGATGGCAGCCTGCGTCACTAGGCTGAGGGGCACAGTATCAGTACAGCAGGTTAGCTTGGCCACTTTGAATAGCATTTCGACTTCTTTCTAGCCTCAATTCTTCTAGGTTGAGCTGAGTTTTCTTTTCAGTTCTGGACTCATGTGCTTTGTTAATTTGCATGGCTAGGGACACAAAGACTTTGTAAAAGGGACAGCGAATGGAAAAATCTGAACATTTCTAGTATTCTATATTCACTGTCCTTACTGCCCACCCCTTCTTACTGACGTCCCTCCTCTTTTTCTCCATGTCACTTCTTTCCTACACTCAGCATTCCCTCCCAACCCCAAAGGTGACTCATCAGCCAACCTAAGCCCTCACTAGATCCTATTCATTCTCTCTATGCTCTTATTACAGGATAGCGTGTTCTAGATCTTAGCACTGGAAGCAATCCTTTCCCGAGGCAGGAGCCCTTCTAGCTAAATGATCCTCTCCTCCCCTCCCTCCATCTCTAATTACAGTTCTCATTATCTTCTGGCCACCTGTCTGTTCCACTTTGGACAGGTCTAATTGTTATAAACTCGTTTTACTACTGAAGGAAAAATCAGTCCTTTTATGACAGCCATCCATGAGTCCACTCCTGTACCCCACAGTCAGATAGACCCTGTCCTGCTCTGTGGTAGCCTCACAGAGAAATGAAGCAGGGCTCCTGTCCCCTGAGTTTTCTCTTCTCCAGAAAGCCCCAGCTCCTCTAAGCAGACATCTTGGAGCTTGGGCTCCAGTGCTTCCCCAGACTGGCTGACCTCCTGCAACACGTTCCTATTTGTCTAGAGCCCTTTTAAAGTGAGGTCGGTACTGCATTAGCATCTCTGGAGGCCACCTTGACCCGGTGACTCATACTGAACTCTGTGTCAACTACTGTCTCTAATTTTCTTTTAGACCAAATGCTGTAAAGCCACATGTCAGTTTGCTTGCACACAGTCCCTTCCTGGATCAGATGTTTTCTCCCTGATGAAATCCATTGTGTTACTATCCCAATACTGCTTTTTTTTTCTGCTAATATACTTCAAAAACTTGACTTCCATGTCCTCTGGGGTGTATTATATTATTTTTGTTTTAACTAACCCTCAGCATCACTTCTTATCTTGAGTCACCCTCACTTACTGTTCACTCAAATTTCTTTTCTAGCTCATTTCCCTTTGCATTACCTTTCTCACACCTTCTCTTTTTTGCCATTTCATTCCCCCACCAGCAAATGTCACCACTGTCTGGAGTGACGTGCCTGGGAATGTGTGTAGGGAGGCAAGGGCAGACCCACACACGAGATAGGAGCAGACACTGTAGAGGTGTATGTGTGCTTTCTGTTTTTAGTCCTTTATCTGGTGCCCCCAGAATTCACAGCCTGGATGGGAAAATGGTAAGGTAGGAGAAAGAATGACAAGAAAAACTGGTCTAGATTCGATCTCAAGGGAAACGGGAACTGTTTTCTGGACCAGAAAGGAGCCAGGATAAAGGTGCAGATCTCCAATCTCCATCCAGATTGTGGCACAGTGAGAAGAGCCAGCAACAGAAGGAATTTAGAGGTCTTAAAGACTGCAAAAGGGAGGAAGATTTGATAGAAAGCGAGGACTTGTAGAGTTGGTAGTCCTTGGGAGATCAGAGGAAGGTGATTTGAAACATTAGAGGCAGAAGAAGGTTGGGTTACAGGACCTTACAAGAGGCAATGAGCTGTGAGTGTAACTAGCATAGAAAATATTCTCAGGTCAAAGGAGCCCAGGAAATATAGTCCTTACCACAGGCTTTGTGTTGTCATCGAGTGCACTGTGCGAAGACCCTCAGAGTAGCACATTCCCTTAGGCAAACCACAGCCTTGAGCAGGCCTCTTTTCAGACAGGATTACACTCCAGGGAGGAGTCAAAAGTGGGAGATCTGGCACCATTTTGTGATTTCATGAATAAACAAGAGAATTTCACTGTTTGGGACAGGCAATATGATATCTTTTGGCTTCTTAAGTCTGCAAGTAGGGTCCAAACACACTCTCTCTCTCTCTCTCTCTCTCTCTCTCTCTCTCTCTCTCTCTCTCTCTCTCTCTCTCTCTCTCTCCCTCTCTCTCTCTCCCTGTTAACAGGAAAATGATTGCTCTAAATACTTAAATAAAACAAATGATAGATGAGAAGCGACTTTTAAGCAACCGGGAGGCTGTGAGGGGAGCTCTAATGGAAAGCTGAGGGAAGGAACCCCCAAAGAGCTAGTGGACTGTATAGCCATGACTGCCATTCCTCTCTATCCTGGGGATGGAATAACTTGGTGGTGGGGTAGAGGTCAGTAGCTCTACTCCTGGGTTTTAATAGTAATGCTGGAGCCCCCTTCAAGAACATCAAAATCCCTGATTACTCAATGGACTTCCATAGACTTGCAATGCTCTTTTAGACCATGCTGCAAGAGAATGTCTGGGGGAAGAAATCACTTCCCTATCCTAGCCCCTCAAGTCTAAATTCACTTGAACTTCCCTAAACTTAAAAAGGTTTTTTGTTTTGCTTTGCTTTTTCACAGTGGTGGAGATGGAGTGGTAGGCAAATGCTCTCTACCACTGAGCCACACGTCCTAGCTCTTAAAGATGATTTTACTGTTGGCCTTTTCAAAGAAAAAGGCTCTCTGAATATTGTAGAACTGATTTTACCCTGGAAGTGCCTTAAAGCTGAACCTTTTGTTCTTCTGAAGGTGACATTAGCCAGCCAAGTGACAACCTCAACCAGAGTGGCTTGTATAGAATTCTGGGTACAAGATGTCAGGCCAAAAAGAGGTTTCCCTTCCAAGTCAGTGGAATGATTAGCTGCCAAAAGACAAATGGTATTTGAGGAAGCCCCCAGCAGCAGGCCACCACACACTGGGTGGAATAAGGAGGGCAGGACTGGAGGGTGGCGCTCACCTTTGATGTAGTTGAGGATTTGCTGGATTCGGTGGGGCTCATTGCGGTCTGGCCGGCAGCTTGGCGTGATTTCCAGCACATAATCAGGACCATATGCTGTGAAAAACTGTAAGGAAAAGAGAAAGGCCAAAAAACAAACAAAACCATATAAAACTTCCAAACCAAACCACATACAAACAGGACAATCAAAAGAAACTCACCATTCCTGACAAGACCAGAGCAACCTCCAAGGGCAGAGGGGCATGATGTGGCAGGGAGGGCTGCCCCGGGGGCAG